CTCAATTTTTTATTCTTACAAATTATTCTGCAGTATATATTCTTATAGTTGTACTCATGTAAATAAGTGCAAGAGTTTCTGTAGGATAAAACTTAGCAGTGACAATACATGACTATATGGTATGCATATCTTCACTTTTAACAGATATTGCCAAATTATTCTCTCAGGTGAGGGTTCTAATTGACATTCCCATTGACAGTATATGCATTTCTGTTACTACACATTTTTTTCACTCTTACTGTTGTTAATGCATGTGCATGCATGTGCTGTTCACTAATTTCATGAGAATGATACAGTATTATGTTAACTTGTATTTTTCCTATTGATAATGAGATTGAACATCTCATATGTATAGAGGCCATTCTGTTTCCCTGCTCTGTGAAAAAATTGACCTTTTTTCTTCCTTTTCTTTTTAATTAAGGTGTTCATGTATTCTAATCCTTTGTTGGTTACATGTGATAGAAGTATCTTCCTGTGTCTTATCTCTATTTGGTGTTATATTTGCTGAAAAGAATCTTTTCATTTTAACCCTGGCAAGTTTATCAAACTATCTTTAAGGCATTTTGCTTTTTGTCTTGACTCTTCATCTACTCTGAAGTAACAAGGACTTTCTCCTATACCTTTTTTAAAAATTATACTTTTGCTTTCATATTTGTTTTTATTCCTACTATAATTTATTTTTACATAGTTAGTTTTTCTATAACACAACATGTGTTCCTAAAAACCACTATGCTATATATATACAAAATCATGCAATAAAAGCCACAAGGGCATATGGGGAAAATGGGGTTGGTGCACAACACTCAACATTTTTTTTCAATGACATATTAAAAAATATATACTTAAAAATGTTAGCACAGTTTTACATATGTTAAATGGTTAAGAAATGCATAAGTACCACAAAAATATATTTTATTTTGAAAAAGGTAAAGCTTGTTTGTGGAAGTAGGATTCAGAAGGTTTGCAGCTTGTAAGTTGTGAAGTGGTGGAGGTAAGTTTATCTGAAATCTGTCAAGAAGTTGTAACTGCAGTTGTGGAATGTGTGGCTCATAATGCAAGTGAGTTTAGGTAGGTGATTGAAATGTGTGTGTTTTATGCATTCATGTGTGGCTCAGTGCACCTAGTAGTTTTGTATATTCACCTAAGATTTGTTTCAGAGTTAAGATTAAGGGATGGCAAGAAAAGCACCTAGGGTGTACAATTTAAGGAGACACTCCTTGTTAGGACCCCTAGGCATCTATCTTACTTGCCTCATCTTAATCCTAGCCCTCCTTGTGGATGAAATGGTGGTTAAGCATACACTGAAATTTGTGTTGATACTCCCTAATACATTAATCACTTTTAACACATTCAAGTTTTTGAAACAAGCATTAGAGTAGAGCTGACTACATGTGCAAGGTAGAGCTCTAATTTTTTCCCATGTACATAGATAGATCTTTCCCCGCTAGTTTGTAATGATGCTTTTGTTGTACATCTTAGTTCCACATATATGAGCCTGGTTCTTGTTTCTTTGTGCTGTTTTCAGTGGTATTTTTGCTTCTCCCTATGCCAGTATCACATTTTCTTAATCACAGGCCTGGCACTAACTTTGTAACCTTGGGCAAATTAATTTCTATGTGCCTGTGAAATTTTTAAAATGCTTATCACATTGGATAGAGTAAATGAGCCAATATGGTGAGTACTTAGAAGTATGTGCCTGGCCCAAGAGTAAAGTCTTGATATCTAGTAAACTGAGATTGCCATTTTGCTTTTTTTTTTTTTTGGTTTGTTTGTTTTGTTTTCTGCAAATTGAGAGGAAACAGGAAGAGGCTTGTGGAAGGATTCCCCAAGGAAGTGACATTTAGGCTATCTAGAAGATAGCCTAAGATAGGAGTTAACTAGGTGTTGAGAGCAATAAAAGAATATTCCAGGCAGAAGGAGCCATGAGGCAGGACATTGTCCAGAAATTGAAAGAAGGCTCTTATAGCTAGGTCTCTCCACAAAGATAAATGGTACCAGCTGAGACTAGAAAGGTAGGGAGGAGCAGATCATGTAAGACTTATAGGCAATGTTAAGAGTTCAGCTTTCATCTTAGTCATAATTATGACTATTTGTGAAGAATAAAAGTCATGAAATATCAGTCTTCACAAACAGTTACAACTTTTCAAAAAAAAGAAACTCAAGCTAAAATTGAGCTTATCTGGACCATTGGAACATAACAAAAGATTAAAAGTGCTGGTGATAATGTATAAATTCAGGTCTCTGTTCAATCATTTGTCATCTTGGTGAGCTATTGATTCTGTTCTAGGCTTTTATTAGTTTTAATTGAAGAATTGGACCCTGGCCAGTTGGCTCAGTCTTTTGGAGCATTTTCCCATACACCAAAAGGTTGTGGGTTCAATCCCTAGTCAGGACATGTCTGGGAGGTAACTGATGAATGTTTCTCTCTCTTCTCTCCCTCCTCCTCCTTCCTCTCTTCCCCTTTTTCTCCTCCTCTCTCTCCTTCTTTCCTTGCTTCCCTCCCCCTCTTCATCTTACTATCCCTCCCCAGCCCCCCTTCCTCTCTCTCTAGAATCAATAAACATATCCTTGGGTGAGGATTAAAGAAAATAAAGAATTGGGATTGTGGCAGATTCATAGATTAGGAGTAGTGTTTTTATAGGACATCATATCTATGTATTAATGTCTTGAAATAAAATTTTATATTTGTCTACTTATTGTTGTCTTTCATGAGTAAATATAAGAAAACTAAACATTATTTCTGTAATAGATGTGCCTATTTTTTTCTACTTCCCTCATATTTCCATGCTACAAAATTTCACAAGTAAGATATAGGTGGCCTGTAGTATAAGTATGATGCCCCTTTGCAATCAAAGGTAGTGTTGAAAGCAGCTGAATACTCATCAAACAGAAGAGTTTGATAATAGTATCATGTTACAGCATCAGATGAATACTGCCCAGTGCATATATCCACTATAACTGTGAAGAATTATTAAATACTTTGGGAGATAAAGTCTCATCATTTAGAAATACCTTTTAAATAAATAAAAATAGAATTTTGATAGTATACCTCTAATAGTTTTTAAAGTAAGTTTTATAAATGGCATTTTAAATTATAATATTGTTAATCTATAAATTCAACACAATTCCAATCAAAATCTTAAACTGTTTTTTGTGTGTGCATGTTTGTGTGGAACTTGATACATGGTTTCTAAAATTCATGTGTAAGAACAAATGGACAAAGATAGTTAAGACAATTTGCAACACAAACAAGCAGGGGGAACTTGCCCTAAAAAATATCAGGGTTAAAGTATTTAAGACTATGAAATTGAAACACTGATAGAAAAGAAGATGAATGAAATAGGGGAAAGGCTACCTAGTATGGTAGTTATTTGCAAAGAAAGCAAATGAAATGTCTGAATAGTTTAAATTGCAATGGAGAAAGGAAAACATTTTTGGTGGGTGAAATACTACTAAATAAAATTTTCTTTATTATCAATTTAACATGTAAGCTCATTGCTAGTCCAAACTATTTTATTTTAGAAACAGGGTTTTCTTGTGACTTAGTCTCTCAATTTTTTTTCCTCATAAATCCCAGATTTTATGCTTTGAGGACTTTCAGTTGCATAACCATAATAGTGGGTTTGGAGTACTCAGGTATAGAAATTCTGCCGTGTCCACTTTTAGGGAATTAAACAGTTTATAAATATTCTATAAGAACTCGGGGTTTTTGTTAGCTTGATGTATTTGCCTCAGAGACTTTCAGACATAATTATAGCATTATTCCTATAGTGCTTGTATGTAGTGAGCACGAAAACATCAGAATGGTGATCTAAAACCTTGGTTACCTGTGTTATTGTACATATGGGCTCTACACATCTTATTAACCTTTACTTTTGATTTTTGTGGTTAAACCTGGTTCAATATAGGGAATATTTCTGGAAAAGAATTAAAATAATTAGGAACTAGTAACAAAGTAGTATTTCATAGTAGGTATAGTGTATTTGGAATAAAAGAAATTTATAAAAAAATTTTTAAGATCTTATATACCTTTATTTTTAGTAAGAGGGGAAAGGAGGGAGAAGGAGGAAAAGAAACATCGATGTGCCAGAGAAACATCAATCAGTTGCCTCTTGCATACCCTTAAGTGGGGCCCTGGTCTGCAACCCGGGTATATGCCCTGACCCGGAATCAAGCCAGCAACCTTTTGGTCCACAGGCCACTGCTCAGTCCACTGAGCCACATCAGCCAGGGCTAAAGTTCTTTACATTTATGATTTTTTAGTGTTCTCTTTGCTAAAGAACCATTGTTTTACTTTTTCTGGCACTGGTCATCTGATGAAAAACTAAACCTAGGTATTTGAAAATAATATGAATATTGTTTCATTAATGCTTAAAATGCTTGATGAAAACACTTTTTAAATCAAAAATGCTTGTCCTAGTAGATTTACTACTGTATAAGAAATAGTTGGATGCAGTAGTATTGCTATTAACATTTTTTGATAAGGAAGCTCATTGTTTTTAAAGTTATTTAAAAAAAATTTTGATGGTAATTATTATAATCACTCTTGCAAACCTTTAATAATTGCTTTTCTTACTCCAAAAAAGATAAAGTAAAATATAAATTAATATACTGTATTTGTAACTTTTTTGCAAAAGAACCATTTTTCTTATTTCCTTATATTTTATCACATTGCATTTTAAAATTTGTTTTGATTTTTATGATTACCTTTGGAATTTTTGTTCAGTTGGCAGATATTTTAGTGAAGAGCTGTTACTTGCATATTTAGAAGTGGTAATAAGTAATTTTTTAAAATGTGTATGTTACTACCTGTCTTCTAGCATCAGATATTTGTAGAAATAATACTTTATACAAGTGAAAATATTTTCCTTTCAAATATTGTGACATTGAAATTATTCTCTTTGAAGTAGTCACATACTTTAATATAAAATGAAATATCAGAAATAGTTACTGTGCTGTTCTATAGTTTCTCATTTCCTTTACGATTTTTGTTTTTTCAGGTACCTGGTTGATAGTCGCTGGTTCAAACAGTGGAAGAAATATGTTGGCTTTGACAGTTGGGACAAATACCAGATGGGAGATCAAAATGTATATCCTGGACCCATTGATAACTCTGGACTTCTCAAAGGTATTATTTCATTCTTTCAGTGAAGTTGTAATGTGTTCATTTCAATATGTTATAGTCAATATATGTAATATAGAAAATGTTAATGTAGATAAATCAATAAATTAGAAATTTCTTTGTATTATAGATTTGACCCAGTGAACTCAGATTATTCTGTCAAAGTTAGTCAGTATTGTAACAAATTTTTTTCATTTATGATGTAATAAAGGTTTATTATTTAAACCTTCAAGTGGAGAATATAAATTAGAAAGCACTGTCTTATTATTTAGGGGGAATATTGTGTTGTACCTTGTTTTTTCTGATGGATACAAAGTTTTTTATTTATATTAGGGAACACTGGTATGTATTCTTGGATCTTTGCATTAATAAAGTCTAATGGAAACAGATGACTTCACCTGAGAAGTTTTCAAAAAGCATATGCAAAGATACTCGATATCATTAGTTATTAAAGAAATAAAGATTAAAAGCACAATGAAGTACCACTATACATGTATTAAAATGATTAAAATTTAAAAGACTGACCCATACCAAGGGTTAAGGATGTGGAGCAAGTAGAACGTTCATACATTGTTTCTGGAAATGAAATACGCTGGCAGTTTCCCAAAATGCTGAACATATTACCATAGGAGCCAGCCATTCCACTCCTAGGCATTCACCCAAGAAAAATGAAAGCGTGTATCCATATGAAAACTTGTACACAAGTGGTCATAGCAATGTTATTTGTCATAGAGAAAATTGGAAACAACCCCAAATGCCCATCAACAGCCAAATGGATGAACAAATTATAGTATATTTATATAATGAAATCCTACTCACCAATTAAAAGGAATGAACTATTGATACATAAAAACATGAGTGTACCTCAAGATAATGATTAGGCATAAATGAAGCCACACAAAGTACATACTATTTTTATCTAAGAATATGGAAACTGCAGTTTGCCTATAGTAACAAAGCAGACAAAGTTTTCTTATAAAATTCTAAAACATGCAAAATAATCTATAGTTGCAAAACACAGATAAGTGGTTTTCTGGCAATAGGGTGGTAGACCTGGATGAACAGAAAGGAGAGATTACAAAAGACCACAAAGATGTCTCTGCAGGTGATGGATATGTCATAATTTGGGTAGTAGTGATGGTTTCACACTGGTATCAATATGTCAAAACTTATCAAACTATGTTAAATACGTGCAGTTTATTTGTACATCTGTAAACACAAAAGTAACAAATAGCAGCCATTCTGTGTTTAGTTTAGGGGTGTTTTCCCCCTTAAAATAATTTATTTTGTCCACTCGATACAAATAACTATCTAGATTCTGGTGTACAATAAAATCACTTACTCAAAATCTTATTGTGGAAAAGAGCATAGAAGTCTTAATTTTAAACTTCATTTTATTTTTTGAGGCATTTTGTTATAGTGAAAAAAAATGGATGTTAGAGTAAAACAATTTGTGTTTGAATTTAGTCTATAATTGTCTGTCTGTGTAACCTTAGGCAAGTTAATCAATACGTGAATCTGTTTACTAATAAAAATGGAGATATTTACTTCATAGTAGTTTTAAAAATCAATTGAGATAACAGGGTTTATTTTCTATAACAACATCTTTTTCTGTACCTGCAATTTTCGTATGTATGATCTTGGGCAAGTTGTTTGATTTCCCTGAATATATTTTTCTAGTCTAAAATGGAGATACCCATTTTATAGGATCACTTTGATGATTGACTGAGATAACATGGTTATCTGTTGTATCATGTCTCATAGTACATTATCCATACAGGGGTTTAGAATATTTAAGTTTCTTCCACCTTCAGAACATCCTAAAAATATCAGTTTTCATCAAGAATTTAAAAATAATAACTAAGGTTTTTTAAAAACTGAGCTTAAATATTTTTAAATATATTGTATTGATTATGCTACTACAGTTGTCCCATTTCCCCCCTTTTATTCCCCTTTGTCCTGCATACCCCCTCCCACCCACATTCCTCCTCTTTAGTTCATATCAATGGATCATACATATAAGGTCATTGGCCTCTACATTTCCTATACTGTTCTTAACCTCCCCCTTTCTAGTTTCTACCTACCATTTATGCTACTTATTCTCTGTACCTTTTCCCCCTCTCTCCCCCTCCTACTCCCCTGCGCATAACCCTCCATGTGATCTCCATTTCTGTGATTCTGTTCCTATTCTAGTTGTTTGCTTAGTTTGCTTTTGTTTTTGTTTTAGGTGTGGTTGTTAATAACTGATTTTGTTGTCATTTTACTGTTCGTATTTTTTATTTTCTTTTTCTAGGATAAATCCCTTTAACATTTCATATAATAAGGGATTGGTGGTGATGAACTCCTTTAACTTGACCTTATCTGAAAAGTACTTTATCTGCCCTTCCATTCTAAATGAAAGCTTTGCTGGATAGATTAATCTTGGCTGTAGGTCCTTGTCTTTCATGACTTGGAATACTTCTTTCCAGACCCTTCTTGCCTGCAAGCTCTCTTTTGAGAAATCAGCTGACAGTCTGATGGGAACTGCCTTGTAGGTAACTGCCTCCTTTTCTCTTGCTGATTCTAGGATTCTCTCCTTCATTTTAATCTTGGGTAATGTAATTATGATGTGCCTTGGTGTGTTCCTCCTTGGGTCCAACTTCTTTAGGACTCGCTGAGCTTCCTGGACTTCCTGGAAGTCTATTTCCTTTGCCAGATTGGGGAAGTTCTCCTTTATTATTTGTTCAAATAAATTTTCCACCTGTTTCTCTTCATCTTCTCCTTCTGATACTCCTATGATTTGGATGTTGGGACATTTAAAGATGTCTTGGAGGTTCCTAAGCCCCTCCTCATTTTTTTGAATTCTTGTTTCTTCATTCTTTTCTGGTTGAATGTTTCTTTCTTCCTCCTGGTGTTCACTGTTGATTTGAGTCCTGGTTTCCTTCCCATCACTGTTGGTTCCCTGTTTATTTTTCTTCATTTCACTTATTGTACCCTTCATTTTTTCATCTAATTTGCAACCAAATTCAACCAATTTTGTCAGCATCCTGATTATCAGTATTTTGAACTGTGCATCTGATAGGTTGGCTATCTCTATAGCTTAGTTGTATTTGTTCTGAAGCTTTGATCTGTTCTTTCGTTTGGGCCTTTTTTTTTTTTTTCCGGTCTCAGTGCACCTGTTAGGTATAAGGGACAGAGCTTTAGGTGTTCACCAGGACAAGGCAACCCACATGGCTGAGTTGACACTGTATATGCGGGAACGTTCTGAGAGGGAACAGTGGTGCTTGCTCTGCTCTCTGCTGGATTTCGGTCACTTCATCTGCTACCCACAATCAAATTGGGCCCTTCTGGTGCTGATTCCTAGGTTGGTGGGTTTGTGTACATCCTGAGACCCTGTGGGTCTCTCCAACAAACTCTCTTGTGAGGCTGGGAGTTTCTCCTGCTGCCTCAGCTCCCACCGATGTTTTCAGTCAGAGGTTTGAGACTTTATTTCCCCACGCTAGAACCCCGGGTTATATGGTCTGTCTCATTCCCCAGTCGTTCCTACCAGTTTATCTGCACTTGAATGTGGGACCACCACACCACAATCCGCTGCTTCACCGGGTCTGCCAGCTGCTGCCTTCCTGTGGGTCCTCTCTGCCTGGCTGCCCTTCTCCGCTTCTCCTACTGGTCTGGATGAATGTTTCTTCTTTAACTCCTTGGTTGTTGGACTTCCATACAGTTCGATTTGCTGTCAGTTCTGGTTGTTTTTTGTTTTTAAATTATTGTTGTCCTTCCTTTGGTTGTACGAGGAGGCACAGTGTGTCTACCTATGCCTCCATCTTGGCCTGAAGTCCTTGAGCTTAAAATTCAATGCTTCATTTGCATCCATTGTTGAAGTGCATATGATAAAATTCAGAGATTTCCCATTTCTGCTCTAGATGAAACCTATTTTCTCAAAGTATAGTGTGATTCTGTGATCACAGATTAATCATAGATAGAATAACTTTCTCTTAACCCTTTCAGCATTTTTCTTGCTTCTTGCTTAATTTATATTTTTATATCTAATAAGAATAGTGTGGTCTTATTATTGAAATGCTACCAGAAACAATTTGTTTTACCATGTTGGATAATTTAAGACTGTCTCAGAATGAGAAAACCTCCTTTATGTTTTCTGTAACTTAATAAGTTATTTCTCTGTGTGTACTTTTGAAATTGAAGTAAATGACTAGATTATAATAAATGAATCTGAGATTAGGACTTTGATGTAGACATAGTATAATTCAAGTCTCTGTCCTGCCCTGTATTAAATTTTTAATTTAAACAGCATTTTGAAAGTGGATCATAGAATTAGAACCACATCTGAAAAACTACTTCCACTTTACCTCTGGGGATGAGTCTAGATTATGGACCTTCTGGAATAATGAGTTGGTTCACAAGATGTCCTTTTGTGATTTCCATCATGGTTTCCAGCTCCATGTGCTTTGGAGTCACTGTGATAGGATATTGACTTGTTTTGAGCTTCCTTCATCAGCTAATGCTGGAATGACCACTATTATCATGTCAGGGTTCTCTGATACTTAAAATATTTGGGAAACACTCTTTTTCAAGGTTGCTTGGGTAACAATTACACTTTATTATATTTTTAAGAGCCTAATACAAGAAAAATTATATTTTTAAACTCTTTTGCTTGACTAATGCTAATTGCTAACCACTGTAATTTTTTAAAGGAACAGTTCATTTTGGAATATATAGAGTTAGATATGAATCTTTTCAGTGCATTCTTCAAAATTTATTTAAATATTTAAATTAGTATTTGTGAGTTTAGGTAATTTGTGATGCCTATAACCAGAGTATTTAGAGGTATGTACCATTGTTTCTTTTTATATATTGAATTTGTTTTTTCTTTTGTAGATGGTGATGCCCAATCACTTAAGGAGCATCTTATTGATGAATTGGATTACATACTATTGCCAACTGAAGGCTGGAATAAACTTGTCAGCTGGTACACATTGATGGAAGGTCAGGAACCAATAGCAAGAAAGGTACATATTTAACTGATTAAAAATGTTTTAATAATTCACATTATATTGTTAATTCAGTGACTTTTGAAGCATTGCCAATTATATTTGAGATTAAGATTATCAAAATGTTACTATACACTGTATAACAGCTAACACATATAGAGGGATTACTATTTACCGTCCACTATTATAAGCATATAAAAGTAGTCCCTCCTTATTTGCAATTTTATTTTACATGGTTTCAGTTATATACAGTCAATCATGATCCAAAAATATAAAATGGGCCCTAGCTGGTGTGGCACGGTGTATTGAGCACCGACCTGTGAACTAAATGGTTGTTGGTTCGATTCCCAGTCAGGGCACATGCCTGGGTTGTAGGCCAGGTCCCTGGTGGGGGTGTGTGAGAGGCAACCACACATTGGTGTTTCTCTCCCACTCTTTCTCTCTCCCTTCCGCTCTATCTAAAAAGAAATAAACAAAATCTTTAAAAAAAAACAATTAAATGGAAAAATTCCAGAATTAAACAATTCATAAGTTTTAAGTTGCATACCATTCTACATAGCATGTTGAAACCTCACATTATCTCACTCCATTCTGCCTGGGATGTGAATCATTCCTTTGTTCAGCATAACCATGCTGCATTTGCTTCCTACCTGTTACTCACTTAGTAGCCTTTTCAGTCATTAAATTGGTTAAGAGAGAGAGATACCATATTCACGTGTCTATTTCAGTATATTGTCTTGTGTTCTGTTTTATATCGGTTATGGTTAATCTCTTATTGTGCATAGTTTATAAATAAACTTTATCATAGGTATGTACATATGTATAGGAAAAAACATAGTATATGTAAATTCAGTACTATTAGTGGTTTCAGGCATCCATGGAGGGGTCCTGGAATGTTTCCCCCTTGGATAATAGGGGACTACTGTATACATTATTAACTAAATTAATTCTCACAGAAAACCCTATGAGGTTAGTATTATTGTCTCCATTTTATAGATGAGGAAATGAGGGAAGTAGAGAGGTTCAGGGCCTTTTAGATAGTCACATAAGTTTACAAATTAAGGCAGTCTCTTTTCTTAACCACTGTGCAACACTGCTTTTTTTTTCTTTAATATATATTGATTTTAGAGAGGGAGGAAGGGGGAGAGAGTGAACAACATTGATGTAAGAGAGAAACATTGATTGATTGCTTCTCATACGTGCTCCTACCAGGGATCAAACCAGCAACTCAGGTATACGCCCTAACCGGGAGTCTAATCCCCAGCCTTTTGGTATATGGGACAAGGTTCCAACCAACTGAACCATACTGGCCAAGGCAGCACTGCTTTTTTGATGAAACAATTAGAAAATAAGAAAGAAACTAAAACTAGAAGAAAAATATGGCAGCATAATTTAAAAAAAAAACTTGAAAATACGTACATCTTTGTCATTCTTTGTCATTCATTTTAAAGCTTTACAATTATGGTCTAGAAGATTTTAAAAAGAATGATTTTCTTTACTTTTTGGGTCTAAAAAGTCATTTATGAAAGTGAGAGTATTGCAATAGTAAAAGAATACCAAATGCTTAAAGTAGATCTGCCAGCATTACATAAGTGTTTGATAATGTATTTGGGTGAGGAGGGGGGTGAAGGGAAAAGTTGGAGGGAGAACCAGAATCTCTGAGCATAGTTATTTGGGGTTTTCCCCCTACATGGAACCAATTAAAAAGATGAATTATGTAACATATAGGTATAAACTTCTGGTAGAAGTTTATCTGGTAGACCAAACCATATTTGGATTTATTTGAAACTACTGCTACAAAATTGCTATATTAACTTTTTATTTGTATATTTTATGCTTTAGGTTAGGATCAAATGTTGTTTTCTAAGTAGAATGTGCCTTTGAGTTTATTTTCTTAATTTCACTCAGCCTTTTCTTGAACTCAGTCATTTCAAAATTAGGATTCCTCTCTATTAGGAATGCTAGTCTTATGTGTATAAAAAGGTCTATAGTTTTATCTATATTTCTGGAGAATTGAGTGTTTAAACATTTGAAGAAACTAATTAGCTGTAAAACTATCTAGAAGAACTTCATTTCTGGGGTAAAGGAAAATCTGTGTCTGAAATATCTTCTTCAAATGTTTTAAACTGTACTACTTTTAACCTGAATGATATATCTTTTTCCTAAATAGATGTAGCATACTATAGAACAAATCATTATTATTAGTGGTAAATAGACCAACCGCAACTTCATTAGCATTACATTTTTCAAATAGGTTTTGTTAGCATTTCTTGAGATCTGTGCCTGATCAGCAAAGTTAAGCAAAAAAGAAAGAGAATCATGAAAGCTTCACACAGGTAGAAAGAAAAACATCTAACAAGTCTGCTAGGAAATCATACATTTTTTTTTAAAGTAGGTGAAATTTATTCAACCTGTTAAGTAATTTTCAAACTTTAGTATACATAAAATTACCTGGAGTTTTTATTAAAATGTGTCTTCCTCCAAAATTAAATAAATAATTCTGGGAATTTCCATTTACAGTATGCCCCTCATGACTCTGATGCTAGTGGAACTAGTTAAAGAATAGACTTTCAGACTGGGTCTGAAGCCCAGCTTTGACTTTTACTAGTCTCTGATTGGAATCTAGGGTTGGTAATACCCCTAGCTGTTATGCAGAAACAAGTTAATCATCTTTCTGGGCTTCAAATCATCTCTAAAATGTTTCATTTCTAATGTCATACATTCAATTAAAAAAAAAGACAAATGAGCAGGAAATACAATGAAATTAAAATCCAAGAGAAACTGTAGACCACAGAAACAGACCCGTAAGAATCCAGATAATGGAGTTATCAGACAGAGACTTTAAAATACTATGTATATTACTTTAAAAAATATAAAAGACAGTTGAAAAGAAGTACAGAACTGTTAGGAACCAAGTGTAATTCTAAAACTGAATGATATGAAAAAATTAAGAATTAAAGACAACGTTTAGGTAAAATACTAAATTAAACAGAACCAAAGACAATTTGTAAAGTAAATGATAATATCAGTGTAAAATATACAGACTAAAGCTTAGAGAGGCTAAAGAATGGAAAATATTTAAAAAGGCAAAGGGACACGTGGAATACAGTGAATAAGTTTAACATATATATGAGTGAACTCTTAGAAGAAGAGTGAAGAATGGGGTAGTAGTCCTGGAGGTTATGATAGCTGAGAATTTTCCCAAACAAATGAAAATTACCATGCTAAAGACTCAAATTCTGTGAATCCCACTGAAATAATAAAACCACAGCCAGTAAATACAAACATAGCCATAGCCAGCAAATGTAAAAAGATATTTCTGTCAGGAAGGTGGCTGAATTGCAAGAGGTGGAGAGATTGAGCAAAAAAAAAAAAGAAAGGCAAAAAAACTCACGGACATGGACAACAGTGTGGTGATTGCTGCGGGGAGGGGGAGAGGTGGAGGAGGGGAGGGGGAGATTAAAGGTGATGGACAGGAGACTTACTTGACTTGGAATGATGAACATACAATACAGTATACAGATGACATGTTGTAGGATTGTGCACCTGAAACCTGTATAATTTTATCAACGGGTGTCACCCCAATAAATTCAATGAGGAGGAGAAGAATTTCTATAGTAGCCAGCAAAAAGATATATTGAATATTACCTTCAAAGTAAGGATATGGCAAAGAAATGATTTCTCAAGAGAGATGAAAGCAAAAAATTTTCAACACGCTGAGAAAAAATAACTGGTAACCTAGAATTCTATGACTAAAGAAAAAATCCTTTAGAAAAAGCCATTTTAAGGTAGACAAATCAGTAGAATTTGTTACCAGGAGACCTGAATTAAAGGAAATACAAAACAGTCTGCAGAATGGAAAGAAAACTACTTCATATGGAAGCTTGGAGACACAGGAAAAATGTAGACTGATGAAAGTAAATATTGTGAATAAATCTTAAGGCAGCCTGTTTAAAATAGTAATAATTTCTTACAGAGATGAAAATATATATATAAAGTTTAAGTACATAACAGTATTAGCATATAAGCTAATATAGTAGTTTCCAAGATGACCCCTAGTGATCTTCACCTCCTATCTTCCTCATATCCACATCCCTGGGTAGTTCCCTTTTAACACTGTACCAAGGTCTTGGTATCATATTGGTCTGTGTAGCCAGTAGCATGTAGCAGGATGTTATGGCATATCACTGTCAAGACTAGATTTTTAGAATGAAGGGGATAAAAAGAAACAGACTTCCAGTTATAAAAAAGTCATGGGGATGTTGTAGTGTACAGTTTGGTAACTGTAGTTAAAAATACTATATTTCATATTTGAAAGTTGTTGAGAGAGTAGATCTTCAAAGTTCTCATCACAAGGAAAAATTTTGTAACTCTGCATGGTGACGGATGTTAACTAGAATTACCGCGATGATCATTTTTCAATATATACAAATATCGAATCTATGTTGTATACTTGAAATTAACAATATTTTATGTCAGTTATATCTTATTGAAAAAGAAAAGATTGTAAAAGATACCTCAGCTTACATACTGGGTGCACACACCCTCATGCTCTGTCTCATTTCTCAATATGTATACTCAGCTTGTGGAGGGCTTTGTATGGTAAGGAAATGAGTTCACTGGGCAAGAAGGCAACAGAGGACTACCAACAATCATGAATGACCTTGGAAGTGAATCCTCCTATCTCATTCAAACTTCCAAATAATTGAAGCTCCAGCCCACACACAGCTTGACAATAATCTCACAAGAAACCTCAAGCCAGAACAACCCAGCTAAGCTGCTCCAGATTCTTGACCTGAGAAACTATGTGACATGTATGCTTTGTGAAACCACTAAGTTTGGGGATTATTTATTATGTGGCAATAGATAGGTAATACAGATTTTGATAAGTAGAAGTAGTGTGCTGCCTATATAACTTGGAATGTGATGGTAGTTTTGGAACTGGGCAGTGGATAAAAGCCATTAGAACTTACAAGAGTATTAATGAAAGCCTAAAGAGCCTTGAATAAATTGGTAAT